CTTCTCTTTGACATACGAGATCTCATTCTTCTTTAGCAACCAAATCAATGAATAAGGGTTAGGATGATTAATTATCGACAAGCCCAATTTCTCCATCATTCGGGAACCTACAACATTCTCATAGCTACCTTTATCGATGATCAATTCACATATCTTGTCATGTGATGTGCAATGGGGGTGAAAAATATTACTTCTCACCCAATCTTCTTTAAAATTCATGCCACACTTAATATACTTGTAACAACCAACTTTATAATCATCTAAATATGCAAAAGAAGCAAACCTCGACATTGATATCATTCTAATAGTGGATTGAGAGATGTCAAGCTTAACGAAAACTCATAAAAAAAAAAAAAAAACTAATAGCCCTAGGCGAAGAACCTAAGCTATAAACCAACCTCAAGCTAAATCTAAATAAACCTCAAATACACATAATCAAAAGCTAAATTAAAATCAACAAGATCCTCAATATAAGCACAAACCAAGATCACACAATCTCTAAACAAAACACTCATGACACCCACAACTAGAATAGATGTGAAACTTTTCCATAGCTTAGAATATATCTTGAAGTATATGTGTGTCAAATTTCAAATCATTCTAAGATAGGTGACCCCCTTTTCTAAGAAGTCAAAATTCTAAATAGAATAGGTTTCAGAATTTACGTCAACTTCCTTGATAAAAAAAACACACTAATTTTTTTTACATGACCTAAATCAATCCTTAACTAACTACTTTCAAAATTTTAGTTCAAACTAAAATCTCTAGCCTTATCTATTTGTTCCGAAATCAAATTTGTTTAGTCTTAGAATCCTAATTTGCCCATAATTTATCAAGCAAATAATAAAGATAAAAGCAAGCCCCAATGTCTCATGCTTGAAAAGAAAACTCTACTCAAGTGGTTTTAAGAGTATTTATGAAATACGTTTGTCAAGAGTTCACCTAATGTAATTGTTGATCTAAGCCACTTTAGTCAATCACTCAATGAATGTGTTCAAGACATTCTAGCCATAAATATGTAAATAAAATAGGCTTTAGAATTTGCATCAACTTCCTTGATTAAAAAAAAAAAAACCTATTTTTTTTAATTTTTTTTACATGACCTAAATCAATCCCTTAATCGATTACTTTCAAAATTTTAGATCAAACTAAAATCCCTAATCTTGGTTATTAGTTTTAAAATCAAATCTATTTAGTTTAAGAGCCCTAATCTGCCCATAATTTATCAAGCAAATAATAAAGATAAAAGCAAGCCCCAATGTATCATGTTTGAAAAGAAAACTCTAATCAAGTTGATTTTGAGAGTATTTATGAAATATGTTCACCAAGAGTTCACTTGATGTAATTGTTGATCTAAGTTGTTTTAGTCAATCACTCTATGAATATGTTCACGGCATGCTAGCCATAAATATGTAAAAATTATAGAGAAAGCCCTCAATTTTTATTCAAATATTCATCAAAGCTTATTGAAAATGAAGCACAAAGTATGCTTAAATTCTCATACTCTTCTTAGACAGTTTTCTTTCCTTGGTCGATTATGACACTTTTCTTAGAGAGAGAAGCTTTTTAGTGCCCAACCTTTGATTTTTTTTTTTTATCCAACCGTTGATTTCTTATGATTTGCTACCCATACTATAATTTTTTATTTTTTTTATACTTGAGTTCACCTGAAATTCAATTTTAATGACATGTTCGACGAGATCTGTCACGTAACAATCAATTCTGTCACGTCAGCACCTCATACTCTCATATAGCTAGGACCACCTAAATAGAGAAAAAAAATTCAAAAGTTAGGCACTGAAATAGGAAAAAAACATAAATTAAAGATTAGATACAAAAAATACAATTTTTTAAGGAGATTTATTATCTTAAGATTGCAAAATTAGTCCAATAATTTCTGCTAAATATTTTTCATATTATGCTTATGATATTTTTTTACTTATCAATAGTAATTTTTAGTACTCTATATCAATGAAAAATTAGTTTTTAAAAATTCTAAACCTCTTTACATGCCTAAACAAGTTTAAAATTATGTCATTTAATATATATATATATATATATATATATATATATATATATATAAAGTCCAATTAAGATTAAATTTTTAAAAAATAAAAGACGTAAAAGATCTAGTTATGATTGTCATTTACAAAATAAATGATTAATCAATAAAAAAAATTACAAAAAATAAAAATTACTTCTCACGTGGGAGAAAATTGACCAACAAATTTTCTTCGTACTAACTTTCTGAAGCTACAATCCCCCCTCGACTCCCAATCAAAACCTTATTCAAATAAGTATCCAGATGCATCACACAAGTTCGTGTAAACTTATCCCCCATCATAATATGCCCAACCGGCACATTATTCTCTTCAACCCATTTAAATCAACAAATAAACAAATGACCATCAACATACACACTTATCTCACTACCCCCAAATATCATCAACAAATTCACATTCGCACTATCCACAATCTGAAGCTGTCGAATCGAGGCTAGGAATGTTAGATCCACATCAGAGAAGGTTGCTAAGGATTGTTGAGGGGCTTATGGCTTGGGGATGCCGAAGAGAGGTGGATCGGCAACAAGGTAGATAAAATTTTATGGAGGGGTTGTCGTGGCTTGGGGATGCTAGAGAGAGGTGGATCGGCAACAAGAATAGAGAAAATTTTATGGAGGGGTTGTGGTGACTTGGGGATTCCAAAGGGAGGTGGATCCGCAAAAAGATAGAGAAAATTTTGTCAGAGAGGAGGATTTGGGACGGGAAATGCTAGGATAATCTCAAGTGACTGTGGAGGGCTCTGGTGGCTTGGAAATCAACCCCTTTTTTTAAAATTTTCTATTTTTTAACTAATTTTCCGGTTTTTTTTTTAAGAAATAATTTTTAATCACGTGACAAATTAATCTACCATGCCAAGCCATGTGGATTTTTTAATGCTAGGTGTTAGTTTTAAATGAAAATTGGGAGAAATATGTTTAAAAAAAAAGTAAAAAAAAATTATATGGATAACGTTAAGAAAATTAGAAGAATAAATAAAAAAATTAATGCAGACTTATTAAGAAAATCAGGAAAAAAAAACTTTTGTTGCGGACTCGTTAAGAAAATTAAAAGAATAAAAAAACATTTTGGTGCGATTAATTTTATTACTTAGTGAATTCTTTGAACTTGATTATGGAGCATTTTGGTCCTTTTACTTTCCAAATACAAGGATTTATCTACTTAGAATTGAATAAAGATGTCCGGTTTAGAAATAAATTTGATGGAACATCTACTCCCCGTTAAACCAAGATTTTGACCATTTAAGCAACATGAGGGTTTTTATGGATTTTCACAATCTCAATATTTTTCACTCCCATGGATAAATACCTGATGCCAATACCGAACAATTTAGTAGATTTGACCATAGGAGTAATAATTTATGTAGTTTTATGAATGGTAAAATTAGATATTCATTACAGGATGAAATGCATAAAACAATTTTTAGATGCTCATTATCTCTTGAAACTTTTGAATGGATAATAATATCTTTTGATCTTAAGAACGCTAAAGTAACTTATCAAAAAGCTATGAATATGATCTTCCATTGCATGATTAGACATAAATTTTCAATACAATTTTCTTTCAAATTTTAGTTCTTACTTTTGTTTTTTAATAGCTCTGCCACTTTTTCTTTCAATTCCTTTTTATTGTTTTGCTTTGCTGATTTTCTTGGCTTAATTTATTTTTTGGTTGTTATTTTTTACTAGATTTCTCAGTTATTTTACTAGGGTTTTTCTACTTTGGAAACCTTTATTTGTTCTCTTTTATTCTAATTAATATAGAAACCACATCCTGTTAATAACAAAGTAATTGTCATCTTCCTCTTAATCATAAGTATTATTTCAACAAATACTTTTAAAACTACAAATCTTGAAATTTATGTCATAAATCATATGTTATCATGTGTAAACTTGAGTAACCTAACCATTCGCGGTAGAGTGGCCAATTTCAAGCAAAATAAAATATATTTACACATATTATCGTCCGTGGAATGTGATAATATTGTGGAGAAAAGACCGATGGAAAGAAAGGTCCCCATAAAGGTTGGATGATAGAAAGAGAGGTAGAGGTAGTGGTGAGCAAACAATTTGATTGATAAAAATTAAATAAAATTGAATCAAATTATATATTTTGGTTTGATTTTGAAAATAAATTTGTAAAATTTAAAACCAAATTAAAATATCGAAATTATTTTGATTTGTTTCTATTTGATTTTTGAAAAAATAATTTCGATTTCAATGAAAAACAAAAATGAACAGTAAAAAATCCTAAATCAATAGATGTGAATCTAAATCTCTAACTTCACTCTTCACTGAATCAAATAATTTCTGCCACACACATCTCCTTGGCTTCTTTGAGTTTCGACCTTCATTCCCTTCTGGCCTTCTTCTCCGGTTCTACTTCTGTCCCTCATTTCCTTCTTCATCAGTTCTCCTTATGTCCTCCATTCCTCCTCCAATCTCACTAGCCACCAACCACCTCTCTAGCTCTCTGTCCTTCTCCAATCTCAGCTAGTGTGAAGTTTGATATATTGGATACAGTGGAACAAGAAAGACACCATAGCTTGGCTCCTATGTACTATCGTGATGCAGTAGCAGCTGTTGTCATGTATGATATTTCCAGCATCATAAGCATCTCTTCATGCTCTTAGTGTTTGTACTTGGTTATTTATTAAATTAGTATCGTTGTTCATATCTTGAAAAGTCTTGTACTTCAATAGAATGAGCCAGGAATGTTTTGCTTGAATTCAAGCAATTTTTAACAACTTCATTGATAATTTGACTGAACTTCGGATGCAAGATCTTTTGCATACAGCCATTGCTTGGCTATCATCGTGGTTGTGAATTCTGGATAGAAGTTTATAGTGCGAGGACGAGCTGTACAATTTCGATTGCAGTAAATACAACTACTTTGTTTGATAACTCACTTTCACTCGTACCTTTGTTATGCATTGATGTTATGCTTGTCGGAGCCAAAAAGTGGGTTCAAGAGTTGCAAAGACAAGGTAAGGCCAGCAGTTTAAAGCCTTCAGCTGAGTATGTTTATTTAGCTGCAAATAGAAAACTATAATAAACTGAATTGTGTATTTTGATTTTGGAAAATATTTTGATGATGCCTTTTTTTTTTTATGATTGTATTTTGATACAGTGGAAAATATTGAATTTATTTTGATTTTAATTTTTTTAATTTGATAAGTTAAAAATAAAAAAATTTAATAGAATTTTAACAGAGAAAACTATTTTTTAAAAAAATCGAATCGAAATAATTTTATTTTAAATCGAATGTATCAAATTTATTTAGAATTGATCTCGATTTTAATTTTTCTTAATTAGCTAAAATTGGACCGAATTTCAACCGAGCAAAGTTGGTGGGGGGTCCAAGGTTGTGTGAATCAACGGCTGACAGTAGACTGTCAGAAAGAAAGAGTAAAAAGCCGGCCAGCCTGTTACCCATCCTGGCTCCTTCGGTCATTGACTCCCTAAACGGACAAATCTTACACCAACTAGCTCCCAATCTCCTCCCGAATACCAATGTTTATCAGACACCACGTGGCACTTTGACGTCCAATATTGATCGACCTCACACATGATGGTCCTACCACCGTTGATTCCGGACAACGAAGTGGGACCGAGCTCATATATTATTATTAATCATGAGCCACGAAAGTTGGTCGGACCTTAACGATATCCAAAATCGCAAGATAAACAAGCTCCTTCTTAATACTAGGATTAATCAATGGGTTATGCTTGTGCAAATCGAACAATTTTTACATTATTTGGTACCCATGTCATGTGGGGTCTAAAAATTTCAACAGCCTGGCCCGCCTTAATTAAACTATAACCAAATTAGCCGAAGCATATAAATTATTTAAACAAGAAGCTGGAATTTATTTATTTTTAAAGATTGGTGCATTTCCTAGGCAGTCCACCTGACCGCATTGCAAACCATAATCAAAAGGAGTTGCTAGCTACTAGCTAGTTACAACTATTGTACATCAGAAGAACGAAATCCAACATGTTCAGGAAACAGAGAATTGGGGAGGGGGGATGTATGTTAAAAAAATTAATTGAGTACCATATATATTTAAAAAAAATTAAAAGAAAGAATTTAATAAAACCCAATTAAATCCATCAAATGGTCAAATTCCAATCGGTTCATGGAAATCCCCATCCCTCCGAAAACAATTCAGATAGCAATTCTACCCAACTTTGGAAATCGTTTCAAATGAAGAAAAAATAAATCGAAATAAAATAAACCCAAAAAAAATAAAATGGAAAAAGTAAAAGTAAAAGTAAAAGTAAAAGAAAAGAAAAGAAAACACATATATCGAGCACCCTAACCCCCGGCCTACCAAATGCGCACTTTACCACTGATACTTACGCACCGTGTGCACATGGTTACACGAGACCCTTCAGCACATGTATTTTTTCTTGCCTTTTTTAACAAGAATTTCTAGGGTGTGATAGCACTAGGTGGCGTCCTGGACTCCGGTGGAGGAGTGTGACCGTCGGATCCTTTGGATGGATCATCAGACGATTGTCGTAACCCATCATCTGTCTCTCCCCTATTCATATCCTCAATCATCCTTAAAACCTCTTGCATTGCCGGTCTTTGATCAGGCACAGTTGAAACACATGTCATTGCTATTTGCAACAGCTGCACCATTTCCTCCTCAATGTTATGGTACCTCATCAACTCCACATCAAACACCTCGGCAGTCCATTCCTCACGAACCACTGACTGGACCCACCTAGGCAAATCAATACCTTCTTCGCCTAACGAGGCTTGATTGGGTGCTTTGCCTGTTAGGAGCTCAAGTAGCAACACACCAAAACTGTACACGTCGGATTTGAAGGTAACTTTACGGGTTTCCACGACTTCTGGGGCACGATAGCCTGCGACTCGGCTAGGTGGTGTTGACGTGCCAAAAAGTGGGTTGAGTCCGAAATCTGAGACGCAAGCGTCATGGTCAGGTCGGAGTAGAATGTTGGATGATTTGATGTTGCCATGAACCACCTTGCCCATGACGTGGAGGTGGGCAAGACCTCTGGCTGCACTCATTGCTATTCTCATCCGGTTATCCCAGTCTAACGGAGTGCGGCCTGACCCTCTACTACCTGAAATAAAAACATAGTCTGTTAGTTCCAGTTACTTAGTTACGCCTGGTAATTAAATATGATTTTTACCATGCACAAAATGCTACTCACAAAATCTTATACTAATATTAAAAGGGGATAGCAATTACACAATTCGCAAGACATGTTACACGACACGAGTCATGAGCTCATTCTTCTTTTTCTTTGGGCAAAGAATCAGATTATAGAAAGGTCGTGGAGAATGAATTGTCCAAAACGCCCTTCACTTTAAACGATCGAATAGATAAAGTCCCACAAAGGAGAAAAAGAGTTGAAATAAAGCAAAAGTGACAACTTACGCCATGTGACTGTACTACTGGAAAAGCTATGCGAATTCATGAACAAGCGTGCCCGGACTCCCTAGCTAAAAATGTAAGAAAATTTCACTGAATCCAAGAGAAGGAATCTAAAATTTGAGGAAAATCACTGATCTATTCCAATTTTTGCACAATTAGCTATCATCCAATCATGTACAGAATTCATCTTCAGCATTCCATTAATTAATACTCCAGGGCAACCAAAATGGACAGTAATGATGTCAGTCGGTAAATACGTTGTTAATCATGGGTGTCGCAAAATTATAAGGGCTTGTGTAGCTTTTTCAAAAAAAAAATAATAAATAAATAAAATCAAAAGGCAAAACCGACAGCCAAGACGAACGCGCCCATCTCTGTAGTGGGCACTCTAAGAATGTTTGTTTGGTTTTATTTTATTTTATTTATGTTTTTTATTTCCTCACTAAAAAAGTACAGGCTTTGAACTGAACATGGAACCATCTCCTCATCTTCCGCTACTAAAGAATTTGCCCCATAATTAAATGAATAATTTAAAATCGATTTTACTATAATAATTAATTATTAATACTCCTATTCAGGAAGAAGGCTACTTGCTGATTTATTCCCTTAATAAACTGAAAAAAAGTGAGAGAGAGAGAGAGAGAGAGAGAGTGTGTGTGTATGTAAGCAAATTTATTGACTACAACAGCCAGCCATTTAGTCAAACCAATTCAATAAATTCGGACAGCATGAGAAGATGCATTTTTTAAGTATATCTCTAGTTTGGGAGAGAAATGAAGACGGAAATTAAAAAAAAAAAAAACAATCTAAGAATCAGTAACAGTAACAGTAACACACTACCACAGAAAAAAAACATTAAAAAAAAAAAAAAATCGACTGAAATTGAAAATTAAAGATGAAATCAGATACTATACCGTGAAGAAGAGCAGACAAGCTGCCGGCAGGCATGAAATCAGAAACAAGCAACTTCTCATCTTTTGAAAAATAAAAAGCTCTTAATGGAACCACATTATCATGCTTAATCTTGCCCAAAACCTCCATTTGCGTCTCGAACTCCTTTTTAGTAACCACCACATCTTTCAACCTCTTCACCACCACAGTAGTTCCTTCCTCCAACACAGCTTTATATGAAGTCCCCACACTTCCTTTCCCCAAAACCTCTGCAGAAGCCCTCAATAAATCCTCCAAATCGAAGCTGTAAATCCCTCCTTCGAAAAACACCAGCTTGTTCCTCTCAGCCTCTGCTGACCCACCAGTGATATCATCCTTTGACGATGATGTCCCTGCCTCCACTGTAACAGCGCGTGCTGCCGCCGTTGGCTTTGGAGTTTTTGAGGGCTGCCTCCGTTGTTTCCTCCGGATACATAAAAGCAAAAACAGCAATAATAACAGAGCAACCAGAGCAGAGCCCACTGCAATTAAAACAATGGCAGCCGTGGAAAGTTTCTTTGACTTTTTGTGCGCTGACGGAAGCCCAGGAGGGGTTTCTGATGGGGATGGAGCTGGAGATGGGAAAAATGGGTTACAAGGCGGTAATGGGCTACCGCAAAGTTGTAAATTTCCAGAAAAAGAGGATGCAGGGAACTTGGCTAAAACTGCAGGGATTGAACCATTCAGATTGTTGTTGGAAACATTAAAATCTGTCAAATTTGCTGGGTTAACACTCGGTAAGTTACCGGATAATTGGTTGTTCTCCAATAAAAGCCCTGTCAAGTGGGTCAAATTATTGACAGAAAATGGGATTGAACCGGTGAAGTTGTTTGATGAGAGATCAAGACGGGTTAACCGAGTCAACCGAGTCAAACTCGGAGGAAAATCACCTGTAAACTCATTTTTTTGGAGGTACAGGCTTCGGAGGAGGGTTAAATTAGAGAAATCAGAGGGGATCTCACCGGAGAGACGGTTTGAGCGAAGACTCAAAACTCGAAGCTGACTCAGTCTGCCTAGTGTGTTTGGTGGAATTGGGCCTACGAGGCCAACACCAGGAAGCCGGAGAGTATACACGAAAGATTGGTTAGCATCGCACTCGATCCCGACCCAGGTGCAGACCGAGGCAGATGCGTTCCATTGAAGGCGATTTTCGTGAGGAACTCGGGAAAGAAAGGCAAGGAGAGCTTGCTTGTCTTGTACAGGCTCTGAATCAACTCGGCCGTGACTCAGTAATAACAGAAAAGAAACAAAGATGACAGTACGAGAGTAAAAAATCAATGCCATTTGTTTGGTGGTAAGTTCTTTGGAACAAGAGTAGAGTAGAACGTTTCGAAAAATAAGCTGTTGATTATACGCTGAAGGGTGATTTTCGATTTCGGTTTTTGTTTGTTTTCCGGTGAGATTCCATGAGAGAAGGAAGAGAGAAGAAGATTGTATGGATAGTACTGCTGTGCCTGTGTGGAGTACCTGGAGAGAGAGAATAGAGGTTTTGTAGAAAGTATCACGAGGCTTAAAGCTTAGGGCAAGGCCTCAAAGAGTGAAAAAATAAAGCCGGGTGAAAACAGAGAGTATATTATAAATTAATCACTTTATTTTTTCAAAAGAATTGAATAGCACCTTAAGTTTCAAAATCTAATTACTTCGTCCTTTTGAATTTATTTATAACTTTTTTTAATTTTTAATTTTAATAAATAAAAAATCAGTACAAAATATGGAAATTTTGATGGAAAAATAAATTTTTTTAAAAATAAAATAATATAAAATTAACAATGATCAATCTTAGTTGAAGGACTAATTAATTAGTATTTGGAAAAATAGATTATTTAATTTATTTTGAAAAGCTAAAAGGATTGATTTATAATTTACTCATCAAAACAGAGACCAATCTTTGCTGCTTGCTGGCCAGGTGTGTTTATTATTAAGTGAAAATCGAATAACCAAACCAAATCATATCGAAATATCAATTTCGGTGTGGTTTTTTTTTTTTTTTTGAGAAATTAAAAAAAAATCGAATCAAAATATAATAGGTTTTTTATTTCAATTTTTTTTAAAATTCGATTAAAATCGAATAATCGAAATTATTAATTTTTTTTAATTCATCGATGAACGACGTCGTTCATCGATGAATTAAAAAAATTTAATAATTTCGGTTTATCGTTCATTACAATCCTCACACCCTCACCTCACCCTCACACAAACATAATCTAATTGGAGTTAAATCAATTAGCCCATAACCAATTCTTGTTGCATTGATTACATGAGCCAATTGGCTCAATGCCAAATGACCATAACAAATTTTTGTTTATAATTGCCCAAGGAGGTATATAATTTCTTTCTTGATTCAATTTATAGTTAAAAAAAAAAAGATGTGAGATAATGTTTTTTTTTTCGATGTGAAAGAAAACTAGTTAATTTATGGACCCTAATAATAATTAGTATGTCTTTTTTAGTAAACACATATAATTTAAAATTGCGCTGAAGAAAGTTGAGTGTTTAAAGTTTTAATGTTCTTCATTGTTCAAAAACAATATTGCCATTTAATTAGCAAAGGTTAGCTTATGGCCGTAGTGTTTAACAAGTTACTCAAAATTATTAGTTCTAATTACGTCAAGTTAATTAAAAGTGTCTTTCATAAAGACAAATAAGTTAGTTATATTTGAGCTTCAAAACATGTTCTGTTTCTTTTTAGAAGGAATTGTTAAAATATCTTAATTGTAATACATATTTGGCGGTATTATCTATCGATATCGATAGACAATAACATATAGTATATATTATTAGACTTTATATGATAATAATGACATCTCGTATTATATATATATATATATATATATATACAATTGATATAATATTAGTAATGCCTATTGAGGAGTAGTAAAATAATAGTAAATAGACAGAGTTCAATAAGATTGAAAAACGTATACATATAGGAACATAGCCTAAAATCGTAATGCAAATATTAAATTTATTTTTTTGAAAGTGCATGATCCTTTCAAAAATCAAAACTATAGATAATTACAAGTGAAAACCGAATTATCGAATAAAAAAATCGATATATTTCAAAACCGAATCGAAAAATCGAATAATAATTCGGTTCGGTTTCGGTTATTTTTTTAGACAATTCGATAAACCGAAAATCGATCAAAAAAGTTCGAAACCGAACCGAATTACCAAACAAACACCACTATTGCTAGCTACCGGTACTATTTTTCCTCGTTTCCTACGATGTTTGTTTTTCAATCTCGTGCTCGGGTTTATCCGTTCGATAACAATCGTCCGAATTTTGGGAAAATTATAAATTAATCCCTCAAGTTTCAACTTAATTAATTTTTCTTATTTTAAAAATAAATTATTTAATTTTTATATTTAAAAAATTTTCTTATAATTACTCTTTTCATTTTTTAAGCCAAAAAAATAAAAATATCAAAAGATTGATAATTTTTTTGAAATAAAATAATATTAAATTAAGCATAATCAATATTGATTAAAAATTAAATAATTAATTTTTGAAATAAAATGAATTAATTAATTCATTTTTAAAAATAAAAAAGATTAATTTATAATTTTGTCGAATGTTGGACAAGGTTATAAAGAGAGGGATTTTTTTTAATGCCCTCCACGCTATAAATTATTCTTTCTAATTTTACAAAAGGAATTTAATAGTGAGTTTAAAAGGCTAGTTAATTAGTCATTTTCATCCATTTGTTGTTAATTTTATTTTGATTTTTCATTTTAAGAAATAGAAAACGTAAAAAAAAAAAAAGTGGAAAATTAACAAGAAAAGAATTTTTTTAAAAAGAAAATAATATTAAATCAAAAAATAAATATTGACTAAGAAGCTAATTAATTAATTTTTAAAAATGGATTTAATCCATTATATATATATATATATATATATATATATATATATATATATATATCAAAGGAACTCAATAAAACCATTAGCTATTCTACCCATATTGGATTAGTCCTAATAACTATTTGATTTTGAATTTGAAAAATCATGAGCAAAGAAACAACAACATTTTTTTTATAATCATAGTTGTCAAATCTAAATCAATCTAACAGATTAACTTGAAAACCTAATAACTCGAATCTAATCTAGATTGGGGTTGATGTTAAATCGAATAAGAAGTTGATCTAGTTCAAATTCGGCTTACTCGAGTCATACCTAGATTCGGCTTATTCGGTCATACCTAGTCTAGACCTAGGCAAGTAAAAGAAAAGAAAAGAGGGAGTTAAATATATTTATATGTTTTTATATAATATTCAAATTTTTTCATTTGTTTTTAGATTTTCAATTGCATCTTCTTTATTTTTGAAAAATTTTAAAATGTTTAATATATCATTTTGATCAAATTTTTCGATCATGATTTTTTTAATAAAAATGCTCTTTATTAAAATACAACTATTTGTGAAATGTTTAGATTTTTTTTTCAATCAAAAACATTTTGGTCCAAAAAATTTAATTGGCCAAAAAAATTGAACAAAATGATAAATTGAATATTTCAAATATTTTCAGAAAATAAATAAAATGTAATTAGAAACCTATGTACATATAGAAAATTTGAAATATTATATAAAGATAAATAAATATATCTATCTAATTTGCTCAAGGTGGAAAGTCTGGTCATGCTAAAAAAAAACCATCAAGTTAAATGTGCATTTTATGAATCAATTTCTGCATAATATATATACACACAATAAAGGCCCTTCGTAAATTAAAAAAAAAAAAAATCAAATTGTTTGTAAAAATCAAATTTGTAGGAGATGAGTTTCGAACCCTTGTCATGATACGTATGGGTTAAGCTACTGAACTATAAATGTTTTTAATGTACATATCAATGATCGACTCGGTAACCCGGTAAATCAACCCAAAACCTTAGCCAAATAAGGTGTAATGTTGAATCTGACAACTATCATTATTACTAGAAAATATTTATAATTTATAAGTATTTAAATATAAAAATAATAATTTAATCCCTTCTAAATTGTTTTCAAATCATACAAATGACTAATAAATTATTTCAAGTCATAAAAAAAAAGTAATTTAAATATTTTTAAGTAATTACTTTATTTATTAATGTATTTGATTACTTTCACAAAAAAAAATCATTATTTATTTGATATATTTTGACGTAATGAATTTAAAAAACTAATTAATTTTATTTAATTCAAATATAATTAATGTGAAATAATTTTTAATCTTTTAAATAATAAATAGCTTATTTTATTTAAAAATAAATTATTTTTTATTTTAAAAAATAAATATTTGATTTCATTTATTCTTAAAATACATAAAAGATCCAAAGCTCAAAAGAAAGAATATTATTTTCAATTTTCAAGGAAATCAGTACAAGTAGTCTGGAAAAAAAAATGCTTAAACAAATTTTGTCAATGACAGGACAAGCTTGTCTTAAAGGGGTTATGAAAAAAAAAAAAAAAACTTGTCATGGAATGGAACAAAAAACATCTCTTGTCTTGTATTATTGTGCACCTAACAACTTTAGCATATTTTGTCCTTTCTATGTATTACATAAACGAATGCTAAATGTTGATACAAAAAATACCCTTAAATTTAAAGAAATACAATGTTTTCTTTTTTTCGTGATTGAGTGTTCGTAAATTTCTAAAATATTACAGTATTTTTAATTTTTTTTTTATAATGATTATGGATATATCCGGTCTTGTGCCTGTACATCAATTTGATCCATTGCCATTGACAGGTTAAAAAAAAAAAAAAAAAAAAAAATGCCATTTTCCATGCCTTTTGTATGGATGGTGGGCAAAACGGATATGGGCCATGGGCTAAACCATTATCCATATACCATAAAGCTTTGTATGAGATATCTCCATCCCAATTTCCCACTCCGTTAGATTTGTGGCTCCATTTCTTAGCCGTTTGACTGAACCATCAATTTGTGAAGGGGGAAATGTAATAGTTCGAAGTTCAAAGATTTTGTCCAATTAATATGGACCTATGACTTATGAAGGGGGTTTAAATAGTTTAAGACTGAATTGACATGTGGCAATAGCGCATAATTCCTTGGCCAAGACACACGAGGGAGACAGCTGGTAACCCAGGCTGGAGAGTGCCGAGTCTTGATTTTATCTTTACTTGTAGTAGCCCAACAATGGCCTGAAAATATGATGGAGAGGGCAACGGACAATTGGCATTTAGCCTTTTCCACTTTTAGGTAACTTTGCATCATTTTGTGTTGTTTATGATTTATTATTTTATTGATTGGGTAGGATCCTATTTGATCTTATTCTTTTTTTCTCGT